TTGCAAGCAAACCGCCAACTTACGGCAACCTGCCCTGTGTACAGAATAAACTAGTCCTCACAGCTCCCTGCCTTCTGACAGTAGACGAAACGAACTTATTGTGCGTGGTTTTAAGTCGATCTCACATCCTTGACCGCCACAAGCGTTAACATATCTACTAAGAATGTCCGATCATTGACGATTTCGGTGGTGTACCGTTCACCTAACCATACTTCTGACCAAGATCTCATGCTCATATCCGAACTGTACCAAGCTAGCGAGAAGAAAGATGTCCTTATCGTTGGGGATTTTAATGCTCCTGGCATTGATTGGCTAACGTGGACTGCACAAGGGCCGCAAGACAGCTTTAATCACAAACTACTACAATGGACAACGGACAAACTTCTCTGCCAGAATGTTATCTTTGGAACACGGGTCAGGGAAGGGCAGCAGTCGAACTGCCTTGATCTTATTTTTACCCGAGAGGAGGAAAATGTGTTAGACCTGCAGGACCGACAGCCATTAGGGTCAAGCGACCACATCACGCTCTACTTTGAGTACTCACTGTTTTCCAAACCCGTCCAACCCGAGAGGTGGGAGAGAAACATTTGGAAAGGGGACTATTCTCTCATGAAGAGGGAAGCGGCAGCTATATCATGGGAGACTGAACTGCATGGTCGAGCAAACGACAACTGGAATACTTTCAGTTCCTTTCTGAAAGAGCTTGTTTATTCCAATTGTCCTCTTAGAAGGATGACAATCACAAACCGCCCAAAATGAATAAACCCGGACTTGAAGGCCTCTTTCAGAACAAGGAATCGTTTGTGGAGGCGCTACAGACTAACTGGCTCCGAAGAACACTTACAGGAATATAAGCGGCAACGAAACGTCTGTAAAAGTGAGGACTCAAAGCCGCGAAAGAAGTTTGAACTGAACATACTCCGAAATTCGTTGGAGCATCCGAAAATTCTATATGGTTATATGACAGTTCGACCATCGGTTTCGATGATGTCCACCATGTGCCCCACAGTTGCAGCAGCAATGGGAGCAGGGACGGTGATTTACGCAGGGGTTTATAGTGCCGGTAGACTTGTGTAGCATCTACCTACACTCTCTTCTCCTCCCTCGCCCGAGCCCGGTGTCAAGACAGAGTCAAGAAGACCGGACACGAGGGAGGCCGCAGGTGGATGGCTCGAAGGATCCTCACCTTGGCGTTCCACCACACCCCCTAGTCCATACAACAAATGTCCAGGATTTCAACCAACACAACAGAGATTTGGAGGCTGGCACGGCCGAAACCGCACCTGGGCGTGCCGCCAACGCCTGGCTCGGATCCCACACTGTGATGGGAGTGCCATAAAGGCCACATTAAAAAGCAGCCATTGCAGCCTGACTCTCAGACCGCCTCCGGTCAAGGAGGAGGTCCAAGTTACCCCGTCAGTTGGCAACATTCCAAGCCACAGCTTTTAGCTCACCGTGATAGCTTCAAGCGCGTCAGATTGTTTATAGTGTGGAGAAAGTGCACTGAGTCGTCGACCTCACTCTCCCTTTCCACTCCCACACCACAGCCGCTGTCCGAGCCGGTCAGCAGACTGGAGTGGGGAATGAGCGCGGTGGCTGTCATGTTCGACTGACCATGACTGCGCGCGCCACGGCACGACCTGGCCCCCCATACACACACAAACACCAGGATTTCACACAACGGGGGTTGAAAGGCGTGTCTCTCACTTGCGTGAGAGGGCCGTGAAAGGTGCTGTTTCAGCCCGTTCCCAGCTCACCAGTCCGCCACTCCACACAACACACACACAACGCGACGAACTGCGTGAACCGAGAGCGGGCGTCAATCAGCAACCTTCCTATCCACGACGCTTGACGTGTCGGGATAGTCTCGGACTCAAGTCACCCATGCAGCCGAAGCCGCATGGGGACCGAGTCGAGATGCGGACTTCCCACTTGCGTGGGAGGTGGCAGTTGGGTGCGTGAGGTGTGTGAGTGTTGATTTCTGGTGGGGTGATGGTGGTGGTGGAGGAGGTAGGGAGTGAGTGAATGTGTGGTGTGGCCGGCGGTTGTCTACCGCAGGTCGTCGTGGATGCGCATGTGACCGAATGGGCTCATGCGATGCCTGAAAGTGCGAGGACAGTGTGGGCAGTTGAGACGAGCTTGATGGGTATAGGTGGGTGCTCCAGGCACTTGTTCGCCAGTCTCTGTGCGATGGATTCGCAAGTGACCGACCAGGCCGATGCGTGAGGTGAATGTGCGTGGACAGTGTGGGCATGAGAAGTCTACGGTGTCAGTGTCAGCTACAGAGGAGGCGGTGGTGGTGGTGGTGGTGGCGCAGATGGATGAGGCGAGGGTGGGGGTGTGCACAGTGGATGTGTTGGATGTGGTGGGTGTCGGGAGTG